ATCTGCTTCTGAAAGGTCATAGCTTTGAAAACCCTGTGGCACAGTTCACTCTGCACACTTGGGTTGCCATGCATAGGAATCAACTTGGCCACTGGTTATTCTCCCTTCCTAGGTCTGCCCCTTCCCCTTCTGAGTCTGATATAGGGTAATTACCCAGGTCTGCCCTCTGCTGAACACTGGCTTTCCCAAGGCTCAGAGGGGGTCAGGAGGGCATCAGGCTACTTTCTGGCTCAAAGACAGGAGTCTTAGAGGTGCCATAGAGGAAGAAGTTAGCTGGAACACTGAAGTGAAGGGTCTGAGGAAGGCGTCAGATAGGACAGGGCTGGCCCAGCTCCCTTTGCACTCTTCTCACAGAGGAGTGTGAGGGTGAGGTGGGCTGGGTAGGAAGGAGAGGATGAAAGGAGAAAGTCATTCTCCAACCAGGTTGACAGATGGAGCCTCAGGCAAGCATGGCTTGTCAGGAAGGCTGCCTTCCTGGGCTGGAGGCACAGTCTTCCTTCTTCTTTTGGCTCCTGGGCTGATAGGAGATCTGGGGATTTTCTAAAGGGAGTGGGGGGAGGGGAGGGCATTGTCAATGGTGGCATCTTCAGCCTGAGACAGATTTTTAAAGGCAAAATTATATTTCTGGTTTGTTGTTTCAGAAGACCAATAAAGACTGTATTTTCCTATGTACTTCCTGGTGTCACTGGGTGGGGAGGGGATGTAGTGCTGAGAGAATCATTCCTACCCCTCACATAATGGCAGCTAGACAAAGTCCCTCTGGACATCACCCACATGCATAGAGCTCCAGGAGACAGATGGGTAACTCCTGCCTGGGGCCTCGCCGTGGGGCACAGCTGGAGAGAAGTGAAGGGCAGAGTCTTAGATTAAAACAAGGCTCTATAGCACAAGGTTCTATAGCTGAGCATTGCAAGCTAGGAGCTAGGAGGGCTATTTTAATTTCACCCACGCTCCAGCCTGACAGTACAGATGCCTGAGGCTCAGGGGGATTCACTGTGGAGCACAGTGGGTGTGGAGTGAAGGTGAGGCTGAGGACCCTGTAACTGCTCTGCACCCTAGGGGTGCTCAACTACCATGGCTTGACGTGAATCCACCCTGGCAGTGAGGCCAGATGGACCCATGTGATTAGAGGGCATGCATTTGCCAGAGGCTCCCACTGTGTGAAGGGAGTAGGGGGGAGGGTTCCTGAACAGTAGCAGAAGGACCTTGGTGAGGTTGATGAGGTTTGTTGACATGGAGGAGCTCTAGCTTATAACTAGTTTGCACTTGCAAGATTGACTCAAGGGACTAACTATACTTGGTTTACAGCTATGATCCCTCCATGGGGCTTAGTAGGTGGGGAATCAGAACTACATGCACAGAAGGGCTGGAATGGGGACGGAGGACTTGCTAGTCCACCCCAGGCCTAAATGAAGAGCAATTCTCACTGCCACCTGCTTGGACTGTGACCCTCCTTCAGGACTGGACTGGTTTCTGGCTGACTGGATCAGGCTACATGGGTCATTAGGCATCAGAGACCAACACTGAGTTTTCTCCTGCAGTTCTAATTTCTCCTCCCCAGGACTCTTCCTTTGCATGACAAAGTAGGTACAAACCTCAGAAGTGAACCATCAGGAGTCCATTCCTGGGGGACCAGCTGACTCCACAGCAGGACTGGGTTGTTCACATTTCTAAGTGCTACTAAGCATGAGAGTGTAGTCCTCCTCTAGTCCTAACAGTTAATAAAACCAAAAAACCCAACTCTGCCATCGAGTTAGATTCAACTCATAGTGACCCCTCCTTGGGTTTCTGAGGCAGTATCTCTACAGAAGTAGATCACCCCATCTTCCTTCTGAGGAGTGGATAGTGGGTTTGAACAGCCAGCCTTCTGGTTAGCAGTCAAATGCCTTAGGCACTATACCACCAGAGCTCCTTAATTAATAGCAGAATTGAAAGAGGAGTCTTCCCCAAGCCTCTCTGCAGAAGCTGAGAACAGAATCCTGCACAGTCTTTGTAATATATATATACATGTTATTCAAATTCATAGGTCCTGGGGAATTTACCGGAGCATTGGTGGTGCAGTGGCTAAAGTGCTAGAGTGTTAACCAAAAGGCCAGAGGTTTGAACCCACCAGCTGCTTCATGGGAGAAAGATGTGGCAGTCTGTTTCCATAAAGATCACAGCCTAGGAAACTCTATGGGACAGTCCTGTTCTGCCTATAGAGTCTTTATGGGTTGGAATCAACTCAATGGCAACAGGTTTTTTTTTTTTTTTTTTTTTGGTTTTGGGTCATTCATACTCAATGCAAACCAAGAACACACACAAAGTTTTGACCATTAGGTAGGACAGAATTTTCTAAGGTGGAGAGACCTCAGGCTGTTCCAGACAGCAGACTTTGGCACAAAGATCTCTGTTATGCATCAGAGGACATACCTGAAGCCCACAAGCTAGAGACCACGCTGGAAGCACTGTCTGTATATAATGGCAGCACTATAGTTGGGTTTGCCCGGATTCCCAACTAAAGCGTGGGGCTGTGGAGAATTGAAAATGGGTCCTGATTAAAAAGCTAGATTTCTAGAAGCTTTGCATAAGCTATTGATAAATCACCTGTTTAGAGATTAACATTGTCCCTCCTTATTCCTCTGACCTTCTGTATGAGCCCTGGCATTATATACACCTCAGACTGGCATGGAGCTGCCTGGTGCAGCTGGTCTGAGTGCCTGTTCCTACCTTTCCCTTTGCTCAGGGGCAGACATGACAGATGCAGCCTGCCCATCACAGACACCATGCTCACCCATCCTGGTGCTCACCCCTGCACACAGTGCCACCAGGGATGAAACTGCCAGGACAGCAAACAAGCTGCCCACCTCACCTTGAGCCATAGGCCCCAGATGGCCCAGGATCAAGGAGGATGAGCCAAAGGCCAGGAAGAGTAAATTACAAAAGAAAACAAAATAAAATAAAATAATTGAAGTCTGAGGTCTCCAGTGCCTCATCTTTTCCCTGTCACATCTATGAACCCCAGAGCATAAGAGCAATTGTCTGCAGTGAGTTAAACCCAAGGCACCAAGAACACAGTTTCTATGGCAACCCTGCATGGCTCTAATTCAGCTCTGAGTTAAAAATGATATCAAATAATTGGAGAGTGCAGGAGTATACAGCCAGCAGCTGGCCCTGTGGCCCCGTCTTGTTCCTGGGCCCAGACTTCTTTCCTCTCAGGTGCACAGGAGTTGAAAAGACTCAAGTCAAGAAGGGAGTGTGGCAGGCATAGACTGAGCTGGGACCACAAAACAATCTTTAGGAAGATAAGTTAGGGGTCAAATTCGGGTCTGAAAGTAGGTCTGGAATTAGCTTGCCATGATTAAGGAAAGAAAGATGGCCAAGATAGCATAGGGTCCCTTCCAAATGCTGCAGCTGGGTGTGGCCTGAAGACGATCAGTGTTGCAAGTGGTTGCTAACTAGGGTGTTGGGCAAAAATGCCAGGCCATGCCATTCTCTCCCCATTTCTGATCTTGGGGTGGGAAATGGCCCTTAAGCGTGGGTCAGGAAGGCCCTTGTACCCTCTCTAGGAAGGAAGACGTGGCTGGACATCTCTGCCTGACCCCATTCTGCTCCTTCCATCCCCTTTACCAGGGCAGGCTGAGGAGAAAGGTATACTGTCTGCCCTGCCTTCCTCCAGCTGCTCAAGTTCTTCCATCCAGTCTAAGGATGCCAAAGGTACAAGACAGTACCATGGATTCGTGGTTGCTGCTCCTTGAAAGCCCGTTAGGAGTCTCTCAGGAGATGCGAGGAGCCCCGGTGGCACAATGGTTAAGTGCTCAGCTGCTAACCAAAAGGTTGGTACCTCAAACCCACCAGCTGCTCCATGGGAGAAAGACCTGGTGACCTGCTTCCATAAAGATATGGGGCAGTTCTACTCTGTCACATGATGTCATCAGGAGCTGAAAATCAATTTAACAGCACCCAAAACAACACAGCAGGAGATGCAAAAGTTTAATGAGCTAGGTTTGAGTCTACCCAGAGGCACCTCAGAAGACACATCTGGCAATCTACTTCCAAAAATTCATGGGGTCACTGTGAGTAGGAATCAATTTGACAGCAGTTGTTTGTTTTGTTTTTTAAATGTCCATTTGATCATGCAAATTTGCAGAACATATCTGGGTCCAGGTTACAGGAGCTGAAACCAGAATAAGGAGGGCTTCACCACACAGTCCTAACAGTTCTCAGGCCACTAGGCAGAGATGCCAAGGACTTTCTGTTGTTGTTATGTGCTGTCGAGTCAGACCCGACTCAGTGACCCCTCCTTGGGTTTCCGAGGCAGTGTCACTACAGAAGTAGATTGCCGTTAGGGGGATGCCTGTAAGGTCCTTGGGTTCCTGCATCACACGGGTTGAGGCAAATTGCAGCACAGGATAGTGAACCTGGGCTCTAAAGAGAAATGATCTGAGTTCAAATTTTAGCTTCATTAATTATTATCCATGAGACTTTAGGCACATAACGTTTTTGTGTCTTGGTTTCCTCATCTGTGAACTGAAGCCAGAAAAGTATCAGCATCATTGGGTCACCATGAGGACTAAGTGAGGAAGAGTATGGGAAGCAGTTAACATGGCGTCCAGAATATACTGAGCTTACAGATTCAGGATTTGGGTCACAAGCCAAGTTCTCTCAGTGAGATACTAGAGCTCTCCCAGGACAAAAGAAAAGCAACATGCAGAGGGGTGGAAAGAAGGTCTGGGTTGTAACCTGTTGTGTGAGCATGAACAGATGGCTTAATTTCTCTGGGCTTCACTGTACTCACTCCATAAATTATTTTAGATCTAACTTTATTGTTTTATAAACTAAATGACTTAGGAAGGTTCCACTCCCCCTTATCCACATAATCTACCTGAGAGAACTTACTGCTGGCAGACTGTGGCCCCTGCAGACCATATCTGTTTTCCTCTTTCAATTACTGTGTGCCTTATTCTTGGCTGAGAGTCACAACCTCCTGGGCCTCAGGGGCACCAAAGGGCAGCTCCTACCTGCAGCAATGGCTGTCTTCTTGTCCACTGTCACTGCCACAGCTGTGCTTGCTGTTACTACCACTGGCCCGCCTGGACTATCTGGGGAAACAGAAATTTCTGAGTCACTTTCTCAGCACCTGGGGAAGAGGGAGCAGTTGGGTAGGCTAACACCTATTTCCTTCTTGGAATAGAAGACAGTGAATGTGCTAGGTTCAATTCTGTCTACTTCCAAAAAATCAACCATAGAAAAGTCTATGGAATGTATTTCTACTCTGACACAGATGGAGTCGCCATGAGCTGGAATATAAGTACCACTCATACCTTCCTTGAATGATGGTAAGGGTGTGGTGTGTTTGGGAAGTTGTGATAGGTCCATTCCTATCACCACCAGTCTTTAGGGAGTGTCTCCTAAGGGTTGGATGCTGCCTTGCGTTTCTGTGCAGATATGAATTTTCCAGGGAAGTACATGGCCTCTGGCTGCCTGAACAATGTGGTATGCCAGTGTCCCTATGACACTCTGATTTTTGCTCTGTTTGAGGATAGCCCATTAGTATTTCATCAAGCCCGTCTCTGCTTGCTGCTGCCCACGTCAGCTCTAGGCAGTATCAGCTCAGAATCCTGCTGTGACCCATCCTCCCCACACGTGTCTTCTCCACTGGATTTGTGTTGCATCAAATGAGCCTTTGAGCAATGGACAGGCTGTGTTCCAGGGCTTGGTGGTGGAATGATCCTAGGCTGCCCTTTCTCAGTAAGCATGATTCATAGGTGACACTGATGGTCTGCTCAGGAAGCCAGATGCCACATACTCATCTGGCACGTTCAGATCTGCACAGAAGGCTGAATGGTGCCTGACACATCCATGGCATTCCATAAATCCTGGTTGTTGTTGGGACCAACCCACAACCACCACATTACTACACTCCAAGGTCTTTTGCTTGCTTTGCATTTGTCTCCTGTACTTCTGTGACACATACCCATCTTTTGAAGGGCAAGAGAGCTTGTCTTGAGTTGCCTTTTCCACTGTTTTGGAAGAATCAAGTCATCATTGTTGTTACTATTAGCTGCCATGAAGTGGGCCCCTCATTCATGGACACCCCATGCCCAACAGGGTTGGACCATTGTGTCTCATATGGTTTTCACTGGTTTATTTTCTGAAGTAGATCACCAGGCCTTCCTTTCTAGTTTGTCTTAGCCTGGAAGTTCCCTTGAATCCTATTAAGTATCACAACAGCATGAAAGCCTTCACTGATGAACCAGTAGTGGTTAGACATGAAGTATATCAGCTGGGAATTGAACCCAGGTCTTCTGCATGGAAGGCAAGAATTCTATCACTGAACCACCATTGGGGACATTTTCAGCTCTACATTAAAACAGAGACTCTCTGGTTCTGAGGCGGTACATGACTTAATAATTTCTACCAGTCTGTGGTCTTGGACTAGCTTTTCAAAGTAATCTTATCTACAGGTCAAATTCTGTTACTAAAAATTGCAAGGCAGGGGCCAAATATTATCATGTGATAGCATATTTTTTTAGAATGGTTTTATATCAAATGCTATGTGAAACAGGTCATGAGAATCATGTGTGGAAACTGATACTGTAACAGTGTTAGTCCTAACAGATTTACCTACTGGTATCTGATATATTGGTAAGGCGCTCTGGTGGCATAATTGTTAAAGTATTTGGCTGCTAACCAAAAGTTGGTGGTTCAAACTCACCAGCTGCTCCTCAAGGAGAGATAAGGCAATCTGTTTTCATAAAGATTTACAGCCTTAGAAACTGGTGGGGCAGTTCTATTTTGTCCTATAGGGTCACTATGAGTTAGAATCAACTTGATGGCAGTGGTGCAACCTGATAACATGCTTGGCTGCTAACCAAAATGTTGGAAGTTCTATTTCCAGCAGTGTCTCCTAAGAAAGGCTGCAGATCTACTTCAGAAAGATCACAGCCATCGACAACCCTTTTGAGTACAGTTCTACTGTGACACACATGAGGTTCCATGATTTGGAGTTGACTCAATGACAACAGGTTCTATTGCTAAGATTACCCATCACACCTTGATGAAATAAAATATCTCACAGAAATTTAAAATTACACTTTGATGCTAGGAACGTCTATGTATAAGGTTGTTCTTGATTCTAAGAATGTGTAATGATCAAAGAAGTAAGGGCACACAATGGACCCAACAGTCAGCTTCCTCAGCTGGCCTCCAGATTTGAGCATCTAGAAGACACTGCTGTGGCTGACCCCCTGTAGTATTCTCTAGGCCCATAGCCTGCTTTCCGGGCAGACCTTCTGCTGTGCACGTGCTCCAGCCAGCATAGGTTTTTAGAAAACACCTAAATGAGGGTGGGCAGGCCCTAAGAATGCATTCTCTGGAGACAGCAGGAATTTCAGTATCTGGGCCATGTAGCAGCTACTGACCCTGCACCTGGAGTCAATGAGCAGGCAATCATGAGCTTTTGGGACCCTACCCCAGAGGCTGCCCAGAAGAGGTGAGCTATAGAGAGGAGAGTAATAGGCTGGGGCCACCTGGGCATTGGATTCTGTCATGTGCTACCAGGTTTCTCAGGCACTGACTACAAAAGACAGGTCCATGTGGGCAGACCTCAGCCCACCAGGCCCCAGGCAAAGGGCAACAGTGTCAGTCTGAAGAGGGAGAGGAAAGTCTCCACTCTGCTCACCCCAGAGCCAGCTCCTCCCCTTTTCCTCCTCCTCAAGTTTCCCCCCCATTAAAATGAAAGTGTTGTTGTTTTCTTTCTTTTGGGATAGATGGGAGTGTGCAGAGGTGGCCACGTTTCTCCAAGCGTGTGCATGAGCTAAGCAAGTAAGCGAGGGTGTGAAAAGAGAGCGAGCGCCTGCCTCCCTGCTCAGCAGTCCCCCTTTTTGGGTTGCCAGCTTCCCTCTCTTATCCTTGTGGTTCAGTTCCCCACCCACCCATCCTCCTACCTCACCGCCACAAAAAGCTCCCCAGCAGCCTGCAGGCGTAATCCTGTACAGGCAGGAGTGGACCCATCACCATGGCCTGGGGTGTGGGGGCCTGGGCCTTACCCCAGGGAAGCTCCCCAGGACCCTGTGGGGAATCCCTCCTCAGGGGGCCTTTTGTGCTGCTCCAGATAGTATTGGCCAGGAAGGAAGATCTGCCTCTTTCTGGCTCAGGGTGGGCAGTGAAGGAAGGAGACTTTTACCTTACCTTCATTTGAGAACCTCCCTCATGGCCTTTCACTGGGAATGAAAACACACTTTTTCTCCCCCCACTTCCTGTCCTACATTCAGTGTAGTGAAGAGCCCGGATTTGGTGGTAACAGATCTTGTTCTAGGCTGGCTCAGCTGCTCCCTATATGAGTGATCCTGGGTAGGTCAAGGAACCTCTCTGTAATTCGGTTTCTGTCTGTGTAAAATGAGAGATAATAGCACCTATATCATGCGGTTGTGCAAATGAATGAGTTGTTGTTGTTATGTGCCATCGAGTCGGATCTGATTCATAGTGACCCCTCCTTGGGTTTCCAAGGCAGTATCACTATGGAAGTAGATTGCCCAACCTTCCTTCCGAGGAGTGGCTGGTGGGTTTGAACCATCGGCCTTCTGGTTAGCAGTCAAGTGCCTTAGGCATTAGGATACTAGAGCTCATAATGAATGAGTGATAGATAGGAAAATGTTTTATAAAGCATAATACTAGTTATCGGTGTACTTGGTGGAGGGGAGATGGGCATAAGCCAACGCAAAGAAGGCATCAAGAGGGCCCGGAGATGATCCCTTTTCCTCAGATCACCTCTTCCTCGCTGTCTTGGCCTCTCCAGAATTCACCCCCAGGGTCTTGAGGATGGTTTTGGTGGAAGTGGTAGCTGGAAGGGTTTTGGTAGAAGGACATCTCAGAGAAGAAGTTGTTAAGTGCCATCAAGTTGATTTTGATTCATAGCAACCCCATGTGACAGAGGAGAACTGTTCCATAGGCTTCTCCAGGCTGTACTCTTTACAGACACAGGTTGCCAGGTCTTTCTCCCACAGAGCCATTGGGTGAGTTCAAATTGCCAACCTTTTGGTTAGCGGTCCAGTGTTTAACCGTTGTGCCACCAGGGCTCCTTGTTCCAAGTTGACTCCCCAGATCGCCCCTTTCCTTTTGAACATCTCCCTTCCTCTCTCCGGGAGCTCTGGTGGCATAGTGCCTAAGGCATTTGACTGCTAACCAGAAGGCTGGTGGTTCAAACCCACTGGCCACTCCTTGGAAGGAAGATGGGCCAATCTACTTCTGTAGTGAAACTGCCTCCAAAACCCAAGGAGGGGTCACTAAGACTCGGATCCAACTCGACGGCAGTGAGTTTGGTTTGGTTTTTTGGTACTCCTCTCTCTACCTCCTACTCATTGTTTCTCCTCCCACTGGGATGTGGATCCTTTCCAGGCCTGCTGGCTCCACTGTGGCCTGGATCTGCATCTGCTTCCCCCTACAGATAACCTGGTGGAAGTCTGGCTCTATCTCAGAGTCATGGGCCCCTGGACAACCTCTCAGGGCCTCAGTCACTCCATGTGTAAATCAAAAAGCGAAGGTCAAAGGGGCTTGAAGGTTCCTTTTGGTGCTAACAATTCTATGACTCTCTTGGTGATCCTTTTTTTTTTTTTTCCCTTGGCCATTTTTCCAGAGTGGGAGCTGGGGGTTGGAGATAAGTGCCTGCCAGCTCTGAAAATCTTCCTGGTCCTTGGAGTTGGAGGATTCTTCCTGGCTTGGTTGGGGGAGGCCCAACTTTGGCTGCCTTTTCTCATACCCTTAGAGCTATCTGCTACCTGTCTGCATACTCACTCTTCCTGCCAGCTGTGAGGGGCTTCACTGACTCCGAAGTTCCTCAGGGCAGGCCAGGAACTGTGATGCTGGCCCTGAGAGATTTCTAGGGGAATGGAGAGCAGGTTGCTTTCTTTCTGAGATGAGCCATGGTGGGCCTGCAGACTTGGGCAGCATAGCAGCCCCTGAGTTACTCTCATCTGATTTAAGGAAATTCCACGACACTAAGATTTTTAGAGACAGATAAGTCTTAGTGATCAGCTCTTCCAATTCTATTTATATTTAGCATTCTCTTGACTTTTTGGTCAAATCTCTTTCCTTAATTCCATCTGGATTTTCAAATGCCGACTTTGACTGCTGGCCAGATATTAAAATGACCAGTTCCAAATTCAGGGCAGGAATGATCTTTTCAAGCAGCTAAAGTGTGTCAGGAGGGAAGGGAGAAAAGGAACTCCTTGGGGTCTGGGCATTCTCTCCCTTATTGCCTTACTGTCTCCCACCAATGGTGTAGAGGCAGGAGGGGCATCCCGATTTTGGCCCCTGCCCCAGAGTACCTACATATTGTATGTCAATTACCTGATGCCTCTGCTGAGCGGAGATTGAAGACAAAGCTGCCGGCAGGCTGCTCAGCAGCTTGGCGGTACCACAGAGGGAAGTGGTTCATGGTGAATATACTGGTCTTGTCTTCAGGAGTCAGGAACTTCCTGCAAAGAGAAAGATTTGTACCTTCCCCCAAATCTGGAACTCTGCTCACTCCTTTTTTCTTTTCTCATATCAAGTCATCTTAGCTGGGCCAAGAGAATGGTTCCTCAATGTGCTTTTTGCAGAGTTGCAGATAGCCTGAAAAAGTTGTTGTTATTGTGAGCTGTTGTGGAGTGGGCCACAAATGATGGTGACTCCGTGCATGCTGGGATCATATGATTGTGATCCATAAAGTTTTTATTGGCTGATATTTGAAACTAGCTCACCAGGCCTTTCTTCCTAGTCTCTTTTAGTCTGGAAGCTCCACTGAACCTTGTCCAGCATGATAGCAACACACAAGCCTCCACTGACCGACAAATGGTGACTGCACATGAGGTACATTGACTGGGACTCAAACCCAGGTCTCCCCCATACAAGGTGAAAGTGCTATCACTGAACTACCGCTGCCTGTAGTTTGAAAATATTAGTCCCTAAATTGGTACTGCCCCAGAAAATGTTCCCTAGTAATTCTGGCCTTTTCCAGAAGCAAAATGGTGTTGTAACTGATGGCACATTAGTAGCTAAGAAAGGTATTAAAAAAACAAAACAAAACAAAAAAACCCCAACTCATTGCTGTCTAGTTGAGTCCAACTCATAGCAACCCTCATTGTGTTTCTAAGGTTGTAAATCTTTATGGAAGTAGATTACCTCATCTTCCTCCTGTGGAGCAGCTAGTAGTTTGAACTTTTGACCTCTGGTTAGCAGCCAAATGCCTTACCCACTGTACCACCAGAGCTCCTTAGGAGAGGTATAGAGTCTGTATTATGAGGCAACGCTTTCCATTTGTATGTAAACTCTTCTGCCTGCAGGGTTTATTTCATTTGGGTATAGCCTAATGTCTTTTTGTCTGGCTCACTGAAATGTCTGAACAAGGAAATTACACAGCCAACTCTATCATTGTCCTAAAAGAGGGGCATAAATTCCCAAAAATGGTTACTTCAAAAATTATTGCCTCGAGGTTTTAGACTGCATTCTGAGTTTTCCTGTTTTCGGAACAGCTTTACCTTACTAATTATGGTTCTGCATTCCCTGAACACACACCAGCCGACAGAAAGGAGTGTTGGTCCAGAAGCCGAGTGGGAGGGAGGGCGAAACTGGTGGGGGATTAAAAAAGTTACTGTGGATAATCCACAAGGTGGATAGTTAAGATTTAACAGCGATTGACCTACATATTGTATGTACAGATCTGTCTTGTTGCACAATCCGTGGGTGGCCATTCACGTCACGGTTGGGGGGTGAACAGCGCCTTCTGGAGGTGTATGGTGTATGTGTGGCCATATGCGGTAGCTGTATTCATAGGAGGCAAAGGTCTCTGCCAACTCAACAAGGTCTGTGTGTATTGAGGGCCTCTTCCACTCTTGGAAACTCTATAGAGAGGGTATAGGGGAATATCAAGAATGTTTCCACGTCCCTCCTGCCTACAGATGTGGTTTGTCTTTTCCTACCCTTACCAGGTAAAAAGACATTAAAAGAAACCAAACAAAACCCCAAACTCACTGCCATTGAGTTAGTTCTGACTCATAGTGACCCCTCCTTGGGTTTCTGAGGCAGTATCACTACGGATGTAGATTGCCCAGTCTTCCTTCCGAGGAGTTGCTTGTGGGTTTGAACCACCAGCCTTCTGGTGAGCAGTCAAATGCCTTAGGCACTATGCCACCAGAGCTCCTAGTAAAGACATGACACATGATTTTCTCATTGGGGTGGAAGATGAAGGAATGGAAAACACAAGGGGATGAAGAAGCATGAGTGGGTGGTGAGTTTGGAGAAGGAAAGCTCCCTACCACAGATAGGGACCTTAAGGTGAATCCACACTGTATGTATGCACTGGCTCTGGTCCTTTCTGAGTCATTTGCTCTGTCTCTTACAGGGAAAAGGAGCAGAAGTGGGTCAGCAAAACACCTGTCATACATACAATGAGAGGAGGTGAAGAGGGGAGGAGGGGAGAAAAGAGGGAGGAAGAGGGAAGAGAAACTTGTTTTCCTAGAATGCCTCAACTTTGCTTAGCAAGTGTGGATCTGTCACAGACTGCTGGGAGAATCTCAAACATGACATTCCATGGCTAAATGTACTTGTATTTAGCATAGTGTGGGTGGAAGGCGAGGACAGTAACCCCTTCAGCAGTTTTCCTACAGGTGGCTGGTTGCCCTGACCCATCGCAGCCTCATGCTGTGGAGCAACAAGAGCCCCTCCTCCCCAGCACCCTTCTCTGGACTCCCACCCTCCTTTTGCTGCAGCACCCAGTGAGGTGGGCACCCTGGGCAGCCTGGTCTCTAGGCTCCTCAGGCTTCCCCCAGAACCTGGGGTTTGCTTAGAGTGGGGTTTCTTTATTATGGGGGGCTGTGCTGTACATTGTAGAATACTTAGGAGCACCCTGGCCTCTACCCACTAGATGCCAGTAGCACTCTCCCCAACCCTGTGACAACCAAAAATGTCTCCAGACTCTGCCAAATGCCCCCACTGTAGGAAGTTGCAGAATCATGCCCATTCGAGAACTACTGCCTTAGACTCCACAGAAGTCATACCTGGGATCCTATCAGATTACAGTAAGAATCACAAATGGCCCACTCTGAATTAGGGAGTGGGTTGTCTGGAAAGCTTCCCATCTATAGGGCTTCAGTAGTAGCTCCTCTTCCCTTAGGGGATGGGAAAAGTGTGTACCAAGGAGAGGACACAGCCAGAATATTTAGCTTGTCATAGAGACCAGTCTCAGAAGGGAGAACAATGTCAGGGTTTTTGTCAGTGGAAGTGAAATCTCTGATCAACTCTCCCAACTTCAAGATCTCGGCAACTGTCTTCCCCCATTAGTCATACCTCTCCTGGGGATGTCTCCAGGATGTGTTTAAGCCTGGATGGAGGGGTAATTTTCATTCTCTCCAGTATGCAAATCCTAGCTCTTCTACTAGCCCTGGTTTCCTGAAGGCCTGGTACACTAGAGTTCAAGTCTCCTTCTGTCCATGTGTCATAGACACACGCCAGAGGACTTTGTCCCTTCCTGCCCCTACAAGGGTCTCCACTCCCTGAGCTGGCCAGTAGGACTCACTTGTCAGAGACCTTCTCAGAGCCCACGAACAAGCTGCTTCTAAGGAGGCCAGCCCGTGTGCCCAGGAACGCCATGTCCACCACGTCCTCGGACTCTCTGTGAAGCAGACAGAGCAGGAGTAATTAACAGCTGGAGCTGGGGCAGGCCCAGAGGAGGGCTGAGAGAGATTGCAGGGGAAACCTGAAACGTTTTTGAGCCTTCCCATCTCCTAGTTGTTGGGCTCTGTCTGACTCAGGGGAAAACCTTCTAGGAAGGCTGATGTCTCAGAGTTACACACACACACACACACACATTCACAAGCCACTATTAGCATTATGTGTTACATCAGGGAAAATGGGCTTCCTCAGGCAGCACCTCCCCTTGTTAATTGGATCCCCTGGGCCCCTGTATCTCTGCGTTTTCATATATAGCTTCTAATTTGTTGACTTGGCTTTTGGGGGAGTTGGATCTAGAAGACATGGAGGGCACTCAGGCAGAGCTATTTTGTCCTGGGGCCTAAGGAATAGTAACTTCTCATAACCAACACTCACATAGAACCTCACAGTTTTAAAGCACTTTTCACATATTTACCTTATTATTGAAATGTGAAATGAGGACTAGGAGGAGACACTGACTACACGTAAGAGAAGTCCCAGTGGACTTCATAATCTCACCAACAAGATTTGAAAAAACAAATATCTGTTATCCAGCTAGAGTTTAATTTTTTCTCACAGTGTCAAGCAATAATGCTATGACTGAGGGCACCCGGAGCTTGAAAATGTGCAGGGCCAATCACTTCTAACTACATGAATATTCTGGTCTGAAGCCCAATTTGTTTTAGGCTATTATCCAATTATCTCAGTGCCTGGATCTGTGGGTTTTAATGAGTGTGCAAGGTGGGTATTACCCAAAGCATTGCCAGAGAAGCATCTATTCTTTAAGTTCCAGATGTTAGGCTGCTGAGGTTTCACTTGAGGAGGGTATGTAGAGGCTGTACCAGGCAATGTCCATGAGTAGACTCAGGAACTGAAATAAAATATTTGGCCTAGAGACTGGGAAATCACTGAGGAAAAGGGTCTGGAGATGCTGGTCGGGGCCTCCCCATTCCAGGGTGTGCACCGCAATCCTCTGGGGACTTAAACATTACAGATCTGTACCCTATGATAGACCCATCCTCATTGAGAATGGAGCCAAAGTGCAAGTATATCTTTAAAAACTTCCAGATCCAATTTTCTACTCAAAAGTAGCAAGAACAGTACACCAATGTTCATTCTAGCATTAATCACAATAGTCAAAAGGTAGAAACTACCCAAGTGTCTATCAACAGATGAATGGATAAACAAAATGTGGTATATCCATACCAACCAAAAAATAAATAAATAAAATAAACCAAACCCATTGCTGTCTATTTGATTCCGACTCATAGCGACCCCCATTGGGTTTCTAAGGTGGTAAATCTTTATGGAAGTAGATTGCCCCACCTTCCTTCTGCATAGTGGCTGGTGGGTTTGAACCACTAACCTTCTGGTTAGCAGCCAAATGCCTTAGGCACTATGGCACCAGAGCTTATATCTATACAGTGAAATATTATTCAGCCATACAGAGAAAGGGAGCTCTGGTGGTGTAGTACCTAAGGCATATGACTGCTAATCAGAAGGCTGGCTGTTCAAACCCACCAGCCACTTCTCAGAAGGAAGGTTAGGAACCCAACAAGGGGTTGTTATGAGTTGGATACGACTTGACGGTAGTCAGTTTGGTTTTGGTTTTATACAGAGCAAGGGAGTTCTGATACACGTTATGACATGAATGAACCTTGAAGACATTATGCTGGGTGAAATAAATCATACCCAAAAGACAAATTTTGTGTGACTCCACTTATCTGAAATACCTAGAATAGGCAAATGCGTAGAGACAAAGATTTATTAATGGTTGCCAGGGCCTGAGGGCAGGAAGGAATGGGAGTTATTGCTGAAGGGGTATTGAATTTTTGTTTGGGGTGATGAAAAATTTTTGGAAATGTATAGTGGTTATGATAACGCAACTTGGTAAAAGTAATTAGTGTCACTGAATTGTACACTTAAAAATGGTTAAAATGGCAATCTTTTCGTTGTATCTATTTGCCACAATGAAATTAATTTTTTTTTAAAAAAAAGTAGTGACAATAGCCCTGGAAGAAGTGCAGCCAGAATGCTCCTTGCAAGTGAGAATGGCCAGACTTCCTCTCACGTACTTTGGTCATGTAGTCAGAAGGGATCAGTCTCTGGAGAAGGGTATCATTCTTGGTAAAGTGGAGGGTCAACGAAAAAGGGGAAGACCCTCAACAAAATGGATTGACACCGTGGCTGCAATGATGGGCCCAGGTACAGCAAGGATTGTGAGGATACCACACGACTGGGCAGTGTTTTGTCCTGTTGTACATAGGGTCACTATAAGTCGGAGCCAACTCGACAGCACCTAACAACAACAACAATAGTATTTTGACCCTCAACCTAATTATAAATCAACTTCAGCAATTACCAACTCATCGCCAATTTTGTTTCTTCTACAACATCCTCCCACTCACAACTATATTATTTTGAAGAAAGTCTCAGGTATAATTTTATCTTTAAATATTTTAGTTTGTATGATCGAAATACAAGGATTTAAAAATAAAACAACCTCAATATCATCATCACACCTTTAAAACCCCTTACACTTCCTAATATCATAAAAAAATCCAGTCAGTCAGCAAATTTTTCCAACTGCCTTATAAATTTTTTTAACAGCTTGCTTCAATCAGAATCTGACAAAGGTCTATGCATTGCAACTGGTTGATGCTGTCTCTCTGTTTACCTTAATAATATATTAGTATATAATTATATTAATGTTAATATAATTTTATATAATAATATAAAGGAGCTCTGGTGGCACAACAGTAAAGTGCTTGGTGATTCTAACTCATCCAGCGACTCCATAAAGATTACAGCCTAAAAAACTCTATGGGACAATTCTACCCTGTCATATGGGGCCACTATGAGTTGTAAATGACTTGAGGGCACCCCACAATGACATAATATAATAATATCATATGTATTTTATTTGAGATATAATTCACATACCATGCAACTCATTTAAAGTGTACCATTTAGTGGTTTTTAGTAGATTCACAGAGTCATGTGACCATCACCACTATCAATTTTATTTACATTTGTATCACCCCAAAAAGAGACTCCATACCCCTAACAGTCATCTTTTGTCCTTTTATAACCTGATTCCCTTTCTCTGTTCTCTCTCCCTCCCATCTTCTGTTATCCTTGCAATTTCTCTGCTGAACAAATTAGGTCACCTTTTTTTTTGTTTATTGCTTCATTTAAAAATATGTGTGTGATTCTGAAAATACATTTGTATTTCCCTCTTTTTTTAGATAAACAGTAGTGCACTAATGTTTCTCTACTTTGCTGGATCTATTCCATGGCACTAAATAGAGATATTTTGCATTTTTTGCAGCTGATCCATTATGTGGGTCTACCAGAGTTTTTCTTAAACAGTCCCCTCCTGATGGACACTTATATTGTTTCCAGTCTTTCACTGTTACAAATGGTGTTGTGATAGCTATCTCAGGCCCATGTCTTTCCATAGTTTTGCCACTGTATCTTTGGAATAGGTTTCTAGAAGTGGGATCACTGAGCCAAAGGGTAAATGCATATGAAATGTTGCTAGATATTATCAAATTCCCCTCCACAAGATTTGAAACATTTTGATTCCCATGGACAGTAGATGAGAGCGTTTGTTTCCCCACAGGCTCACAACAGTGTGTGTTGCCAAACTTAGATGATTATCCATCTGATATGTGAGAACTACAATCTTGTTGTGGTAGTTAAACTTGTATGTCAACTTGGTTGGGCCTGGCTAAGTGGCTGAGCAGCTGATCGTAGTTATTCCCCATGATGAGACTGCCAATCAGCTCCATGGTGGGATCTATCACAAGCAGCTGAGTAGCTGCTTTGGGTAAGTGGTCTGCTTCCTGTATATAAGAAGCAGCTTTGGGAACGGCCTCTAACTTCTGGCACACTTGAACCCTGCGTGTACTTGTGTCATTGTTCAGCAGCCTGCCATGCTCTGCTGACCTTGGGACTTTCAATGGACTTGAATTAATGGCCTGCTGTGTGGTTTGGTAACATCGGGACTGTGCCATTTTATTTGTCGACCTTGGGCTTGTTAGCCTCAGCAGCCAGTAGCTGCCTGAGTGAAGAGATGCCTCTAGCTTCAGTAGGCTGGGAGCAAGAGCAGAGCTGAGGCCCAAGGTTGAGGGGCTTTCACACAGCCCCTTGAGGCTGGCACTTGGACGTTGGACTTCTAGCCTCCCGAAATGTAAGAGAATAAACTTTTGTTTGTTCAAGCCATCCCATTTGAGGTATATTCCTGTCAGAGCGGCACCAGGTAACCAGAACAGTTGGTATAGTTTTTATTAGCATTTCTTTTATTATGAGCTCAGTGGAACACTTTTTCATGTATTTAAGAACTGTTTGTATTTTTTACCCTGTGAACAGTCTGAATCTCTTGTCTACTTTTCCTATAATGTGGCTGGTTTTTACTTTTCCGTTTTTGGGGTGGGAGCTCTGGTGGCATAGTGCCTAAGGCATTTGACTGCTAACCAGAAGGTTGGCAGTTCAAACCCATCAGCCACTCCTTGGAAGGAAGATTGGGCAATCTACTTCCATAGTGATACTGCCTTGGAAACCCAAGGAGGGGTTACTAGGAGTCGGATCTGACTCAACGGCAGTGAGTTTTTTTGTTGGGGGGGAGGGTCCTTTATCCCTCCCAAGTATATAACATTGGTACAGTAACTGTTTATCTGTTTTTAAAGTTACAAATATTTCCCCCAGTTTGTCATTTCTCGTTTTATCTTGCTCATGTTTTATTTTTGCCATACAAACCTTTTTATGTTGTCAGATTTATCAGTTATTCCTGTATTGCTTCTGAATTTTGAGACATTATTGAGAACATCTCTCTACTCCTAGATTTTAAAGCAATTTGCTTGGTTTTTCTTTTAGTACTTACATGGGTTCATTTTTCACATTTAAATCTCTGAGCCATTTGGACTTTATCCAGGTGTATGGTGTGAGGAAAGAATTCAA